CAGTCTTCTTTTCTCCTTTGGAATCTTGGAGATGTAGATATATCCATGACTGGTAAATTCTCTCTCTCTCTGTAAATTTCTCTTTGATGAAATCCTAATATCATCATAGAAGATGGAGATTTGAACTCATGTCAATGCCAAATCGCATTCTTCCCAACCAAGCAACACTTGTTAGTGAGAATTATTTGGTTTCTTTTTGTTGCACAAAATTATTCAAATCAAGTATTCACTACTCTGTGCATTTGTAAACGGAGAAACTAGTTTAGTAATTTATTTTGGTTTTAAATATAAAAACTCAATTTTATTTGTATCTTATATATATATATTTCTAAATTATATAATATCCCTAATACTTACATGGAAGAAACTTATGTCAAATATCTTATATCTATTATGTCAAGTTCTCTAATTACATATGGTGATGTGTCTTTTTTTTTTTCCATATAGATTCATAATTAAATGGTAATATTTTTAAAAAAAATAACACATAGTCATGTGTGACTGGAAAACTGAATATAATGAATATAAAAAACTTGATATAAGTATTATCTTAATTATATATATATGCTTTTAATGAAAACTAAAAAATGTGTGCACAATAGTTTTTTTCCCCTTGCGATACAAAGTAATTTCCAACGTAAATAATTTTTGTTTTGTTTCTTAGATTAGTCTAGGGAGATGATTTTCCAAAAAGAGGAAAAAAGAAAAAAGAGATTTTAAAAAAATCAACATACTAAATAATTAACTTAGCCAACTTTTTTTTTCCAATTCATATAAATCAGTTAATCAACTCTTATATATGAGATTCGGCTTAATATAAGTGATAATATTACTCCGTTCGAACTAAAGCACTAGTGTACTGTGTTGATATAAGTTTTGTTCATAATCATGATTAAAATCACTTATAAGTGTATTTCACATAAGTCAAGACAAAATTTTCTTCATATATACTCTTTTGGTCCTATTTATAGAGCAGAGACAATATATTTTTTGGTTATGTTTATAAGGCATTGAGAAAATTTTTTTACATAAATGTATAATTTTAGCCTTAATTTATTATTATGTTGACTTTATTTATATGAGGTATAATATATATTAAATAGGGATAAAGTTAAAAATTATTGAATTTTAAATAAGAATTAATAAAGTTAATGTTTTCATATTGAAAGTGGATGAGAGGAAAGTACTTATCTCGTATTCTGTAAATTATGATTAAAAACTTATTTATAAGTCTTTTCAAATGGGTTCATAATATCATAATTTAGTAATATGAAAACTCTTATATAAATAAAAGGTCTGGAATTTAATCCCACTTATAACCTCCAGCGTCGTTGTCTGGCCCAAAAAAAAAAAAAACCAGTACGAGTTGCAGCATCCACTTGATGATAGTGGCTGGCCGTGGGATTGTAAAGGGAGAGAGGAATGAGGAACGGGAAGGATAAATGAGGGGGTGGAGCCCCATGACCACAGAGGGTTTGGGAGCTGTGGTGGGGAATGAAAACGAATTGTCGTTTTGCCTGCTATTGCATTTATTGCCGTTTGGCAACACTAGGCCCCCCCCCCCTCCTGCCCCTCTCATTCATTTTTCTTTTTTTCGCCTCTCCACTGCGCTGCGCTGCTGAATCGCCTTACCCGCCCATGAAGAAGTTGATATTACCTCTACTCCTAACTATACCATCTTGTTATCTATAAACAAAATTTTATAATTAGAATTAAAAGTAGTTCTTAATATAAAATCTCGTTTAATTTTTATTTTGATTATAAATATAAGACTCTAATCTATTTTGTCTATCATATTTATGTATTTTTTGTAAGATAGTCCTTTTCATAATTGTAGTTCTCGGCAATACACTTAATTAGCAAGGATATTTTAAGAAAAATAATATTTATTTATTACAAATAACTAACTTAACTTGTTTTCTTAATCTCTTCAAATTAGTCAACTAGCTCTTATAGGTACTATTTTTTATTCTTAATATAAAATTCAATTGATTAAGAAAGTATTTGGATAAAACCAAATTATGGTTTTGAAAATAATTTTACAATATATGAAGTAAATATGTAGATAAGTTTGTCTTGATTTACGAAAAAGTACTTTTAAAAAACACTATTGATGCCATCCAAACACCCCTTAATTTGAAAAAATTATAAAAATTACTTTGAATTATTTATATTTATCATTTTTAAACTAGTTTATCTTATTTATAGATTAATATATAATTTAATAATTTACATAAGTATTTTAAAGAGATCATGTAACATAGACTATGATTAAATAATTTAATAACTTTTTAAATGTCCCTAAATTAATTAAATATATTAAGGACCAGAGATAGTATTATTATTAACTCCATTGTTTATCCAAATTAAGTTTCAAAAAGCAAAAACAATTTTTTTAAATGCGTTATGAGGGCTTGAACTATTTTTTTCCGTATATGAGCCTGGTTATATATACGAGCTCGGTCACATCATACACACACATGCAGGATTTGAAGAATTCCAAACTTCTATTTAGGGGTCAAAATGATTTTCAATTCTTATATTTTGATCAAATTTTGATTTTGGTCTTTGTAGTTTCAAATCCTTCGTTTTTGTCCCTATAATTTTATAATATTTTATTATGAGTTTAATAAATGATCATTATACTTTTAATTAGTTTAGGTTTTGGTCCCTATACTTTAACTCAAACCAAATCCTTATAAATCTATAAGGAGTAAAACCAATTATGTGCAACTATAAGGACCAAAACCACAAATTCAATCAAATTGTAAGGATCAGCAATGATATTAGCTTTCTATTTACATTTCACTATCCTTGCTCCGGATAGTTTTCAGGGGTTAAATTGTTAGGTTTTTTTTTATGACAACCATATGGTATCCGAAATCACATTAATAAAATTTTAACTAATCCAAATCTGAGTTAGTAACTTCGAAAGATATTTTTTCCACATTCATAACAAATTGTAATAATCTGAGATTCCATAATTTAAGTAATCATATATAGTCTATTTCGCTGGAACACAACATCTATTGGTGAAGTGAGAGATATTTTAGAATTGGGACGCAAAAGGGAAAAGATGTTTTGTTTCTTTCCTTCGTACATATAGAAGGAAATAGAGGCTGAGAGGAGTTAAAAGAAGTCACATAGATTGCTTTATATGAAAGAATGATGTGTTTTCTTTCCTATCAAGCCACTGATTACTCACTTTTAGCTTTCACTAATTAATTATTTAATCTCTTAGTAATATAATTCTCCTTTCTTTTTGGTATTGGCATTATTGTACGTAACGCACGGAGAGAAATATACAATATGGGGCTCTAGCTAATATACGCATTTGTAATATAATATTATCCCCAATTTTTAATATAAAAGCTACTTAACTAATTTAATTAAATTATGAAAGCTAAATAAATCAATTAATCATAACAATACGGCATGATTTTTCTAAAATACCTATATATATATATATATATCATATAATAGCTTATAATTTTGTTAGATTAGTTTGTGAAAAAAATGAAAAATATAAGACACAAATAAAAGTGGATTAAATACCAAAGGAAGTATATCACGTATTACTCATCATAATTAACTACATGTGAAGTGGATCCTCTCAAGTATATTTTGTATTGTAAGTGAAGATAGAAAGAAATCTTGTCGGATTCATCACTTTATTCCCATTTTTCTCTAATTTTGATCTCTTTTCCCATTACATGATTAGGAATATTGTGATTTTCTTTTTTTAAAAAAGCCTCATCAGACAACAATTGTGATTACTTACCATCAATCATGACTAAACTCATATGATTTGGTATATTCTCGTTCTAATTAACTGTAGAGGAGTGATTTAGCCCTGTATTAAGTAAATACATGAGAAGAATAAATACAAATAACTTATTTTAAGCCAATCCAAACAACAAGATTAATCAATTATGTAATTATGTTAACTATTAATAAATTATAACGCACAATAAAATTAAATATTAAATGAAAAATCTAAACAAATATTACTTGAATTTCAAAATCTGAAATCAATCATGTTTCATTGTTTGTTATAGTTTAATAGCAATTGATGACACTTGAAAAGCAAATCATGACACGTCTTTGTGAGAATCCCTGATGTGAGAGATTTTTGATATTCAAAATAGTGGGGCTTTCTGGGGGATTTTCCCGTAATTAAACATGATATACATGGTTTGAAAATGGTTAATTAATTCTCTTGTTCATATATATTCTTGATATAAATGACAAAATTTCCTTTTCCACAAACCGACATAATCAGGAGTTAGATTATCTCTAGTGATCATTATACTAAATAAAATGCAAATATTGTTTGTTTTTAGACAAATCACAGGTGAACACATAATACATAATATGGACACACACAAATAGTGAACACTTATACAAACTATAGGTAGTATATCTTGAAATTTCCATCTTCTATACCAGTAAGAAAATCATTTATTAGCTTGAATAATTCACAAAGAGATCATATATATTGACTCAATAAAAAGAAAATCAAGTTTTCAACTACATAAAAAGGTTAAGCGGGTAAATAAAAATCCTGTTGTTATAGTCTCCAATCTCTTTTTCAATATTTTCGGCGATAATAACTCCTAATTAATGTTTTCCACAAATTGAAAAATGCCCCACAGTTCACACACACGTATATATTGTCCCACCAGATTATTTCAATATAAATGATTGGTTTAAGATTTGCAAGGGCATTATCTTTTTCATGTGTGTGGCCACAAATCTTTTTCTCTTTCTTCGTTTTCCTCCGATTAGGGCTAGCTAGCGCAGTGCAAGCGGTAAAATGAAAAAAGAAAGAAAGAAAGATAGAAAAGAGAAGTTGTGCAGATAGGGTTTTGTCCTAAGTATGGGGTCAGCGTAGGTGCATTCCACACACTGGTTTTAATGGGTTTTTGTCTTTTTAACTTGTCTTCTTTGATGTCTCATGAAGTCACGTGAATGACTTATATTATATACCTATTCACGGCTTTTTGCTCTCTGTGTTTCTCTCTGAGATCTGATACATAGATCTCTCTCCATCTTCTAAATATTATGAGTTTTACTATTTTCCTTATATAAATCTCTGAACCTTTTTCCTTATAACTCTCTCCTCTCTGATCTCTGATCTCTCTCTCATACTCCATCTTTACTGGACAAAAAGAAGATCATAGCACTTACACTGATATGATCCATCCCTCTCTTTAGCTAGCTAGCTTTGCTTGGTTTCTGCGTGCGTATGTATGTGTCATGATACCAACTTATCCTTATTCTCTTTCTTCTTCTTCTAATTCTCCTCCTACTTCTACTATGCCTATTATAGATCTTAATATTGCTGAAGATCAAAGCCATGAGCTAATTTTTAGCCCAACCCACCAACCTTCTTCTTCTTCCTCTTCTCTATCATGCCCTATTCCCTTTAACCCCCCTCAGCAGGATCACGCTGGATCTTCCTACTGGGAGTCCAACAACCTACACAATGATCATGTCGATGTAAGTGTTTCTATATAGATGGATGTATCCGGATACCTTAAAGTTTTTGTAGTCAAAGAAGCAATCGCTTATCACATCAAGTTTCCCATATATACACTTTATGTGTGTTTATTACTAACCATTCAATTGCTCGTGTGATCTTATTTTGTAGGCTGGGAAGAATATTATTGCTTCAAGTGGGTCATGGAATGATCAAGAAGAAAAGGGCGGTGTTGAGATCAGAAAGAGGGGACTTAAACTGAAAGTTTGGAAGAGATCAGCATCAGGATCGAGAAAGAGGGAGGATGATGAAAATCATCAAATAACGGAGGACAATGATCCAGTGAAGTGGATGCCTTCAAAGATGAGAATGATGAGGAAGATGATGGCTTCAGATCATAAGGCTTCTTCTTCTTCTTCTTCTGATATCAGTATTATGGGCACCTCTCGGAAGATTATTAACTCTGAAGATCAGAACCAGAACCAGAACCAGAATCAGAATCAACAAAGACCATTGTTATTGTCTCCTCGAGGAGGAACTGATAATAGCAGCAGCAGCATCAATTCTTCAACCCACAGTAACAGTAACAATAATAATAATACTATCACTGTTAGGGTTTGTGCTGATTGCCACACCACCAAGACCCCTCTTTGGAGAAGTGGACCAAGAGGTCCAAAGGTAAAAATTTTTTGTTCCCCTTTCAGGATTCACATGCTGGTTTTTGTTTTGTATCAAACTAAACATAGCAAGCTAAAAGTCTAGCTGCTCCCCACACACTGAAAAATTATTGGGAAAAAAGGTCGACAAGATTCTGGTCCACTGAAGGGTCATCTTCTGTTTATGTTCGTACCTTCTGAGATACACTAGTCCTTTTTTAAGCATTAGACATTCTAGTTGAGTTGTAACTTGTGATTAGTGATCTTAACAAATTGTCATTGTTGATTCTTATTTTGTTGGAAACGCAGTCACTATGCAACGCTTGTGGGATTCGACAAAGGAAAGCGAGGCGAGCCATGGCGGCGGCGGCGGCTGCTGCAAACGAGTCGCCGGATCTGCATGTGGCTGAGAAATCTGCAGCAGTGAAAGGTACTTACAGGGTTCACAGCAAAGAGAAGAAGTTGAAATTGGAGTGTGAGACTCATCAGATGAAGAAGAAGAAGCACAAGCTTGATGAAGATCATCATCAGGACATGGAAGCTAACAATAATAATAATTCAAGAGGGAGATCATCGTCGTCATCACCAACAATAATAAACAAGTTTAGTTTTGAGGATTTCACAGTAAGCTTGATGAGTAAGAACTTGGCAGCTGCATCACAAGTTTTCCCTCAGGATGAGAAGGAGGCTGCAATTCTTCTTATGGCTTTATCTTGCAATGGCCTAGTTCATGGATAGGAGTTGATCTCTCTCTGTGTCAGTGTGTGTACTGGTTTACTTAATTTTCTGGTTTCTACTTTCTGGTAATTAGGGTTTTTGATGATGATGATAAACTTATTTTCAAATAATTTGTACTGTGTGTAGTCAATGTTTTTGTACTTTGTTATAATTATGAGAAGGGGGAGGCAAATGATGGATAGACAATCATGAGATGGGAAGTGAAGAAGGTTTAATTTTTAAGATCTTATGTTAGATATTGAACAAGTGGAGACAGCCAAAAAATGTGGGTCTCTTTCTGTTCAACAAGTTCTAATATTATTATCTCGGAAAATTCAATAAAATTTCCAGGAATTACTTTATTTATTCACTTTGCATAATAATAATTTTGAGTTTTTTATTTATTGCTAATTAATGCACATAAATATATTGTGATATTTCTTGTAGAAATAATCATCATCATCATCATCATCATCATTGTACTCTAAATCAATTATGAGCTTTATAATTTGTCCTTAAAAAACGTGATAAATTAACTTTTTTTTAAAAACCAGAATGATAAATTAACATTTAAAAACAATATATTTATTGTACGGTAACTGGTTTTGCCAGTGACTGAGGAAAACAGAAAGATTAAAAAGTGTAGTAACTTTTGCATTTTGCTGGTACAAAAAAAAATCTTTTGCATTTTAGCCAGCAATCATATGTCTGCTTAGTGGGGTTCAATTATGTAAAAGTTTTCGATAGTACTGCAAATGAAATGCAAAGTACTAATTTATATATATATATATATATATATATAGTCTTGAAGGAAAACTTCAGGGAAAAATACATCCGAAGATCCATATAAATATCACAATTTGCATTGTTTTTTCCCCCAAGATGAAGAATTATTAATCAAATTAGAAGCACTTATCTACGATTTTATGAAAATCTCTATATATGTATCAAAACTATTACTTTATATAAATAATAAATTCTTGGGAGAATTTTACTGTAAATAGTCTTTAAAATATGAAAGTACGTAACTTGTGGGTAATTAATTAATAATTTTCAAGATCATTCACTACACTTTTTCTCTGTCAATTTTAAATGATGATAATAGTTAAATTCAGCGTTAATAATAAGAAGCTCAAATTCTCTTAAGATCGATGAAATCTCAAGTACAGGTATTGAAAGAGTTTCTCCTCATTCAAACTTCACTCAAAATCATATCATTACCTCCAGTTCTAAACATAGGATCTCATATTTAAGACTGGAATTCAGAGATAGGCGTTTATAATACCAGACACCGTTTTAAATTCAAATTCAAATTTAGGAATGAAGAGCCGCCAACTAGCTTGATAATGCGATGTAAGTTATATATATATATAGAGAGAGAGAGAGACACACACACACGTGATCACATTCTCTTGTGACTCAGGATGATTTCTTGAAGAACATAATCATATGGTTCTATGATATATATATGGTCCGGGTAGAGAGAGAAATGAGAAGAAAACAAGACCGGGTAGCTATTTGTGTTATCCTTTTCACCTTTTAACCTTTATGCTCCCTCTTTCCTTCTCTCTCTCTCTCTGGTTTACAGTTCTGTGTAGTATTTGACCTAACCCTAACGATGTTGTTGAGGTTATCAAAATCATGAAAGAGATGAGTCATGTTGCTTTTATTATCACAGGCGCATGCATGCAGCCAGAGGCCGCCCTCCATCATCTTCAACCTTCAAGTACCTCTTTCATTCAATATAAATTCAGATTCTCTCTCTGCCTACACTCTGTGTATATGAGATCGATCCATGGAGAGAGAGAGAGAGCTAAAAGAAGAAAGCGGGAAAAAAGAAATTATTGAAGTACGAAAGAAAGAAGGGCTCCTCCAGTTTTCTGCTATACGCCTACCCACAGACAACAGCAGCTACTTTTGCAGCAGACAAAAGCCTTTGTGTGTGTGTGAGTCTCCAATAATTGGAGATTTAATTATATGCCCATTTTAATTGTGCATGTCCCCTACAATTCCCTTGTCTCCAGGGCATTGCTTCATGTGATGCTGCTGTACTCACTTCATTATGGTACCAACAATATAATATTAGGCTGACATTTCGCGTGCCTTAACAAATACTACCTCCGGTCCTTATTATAAAAACCAGTTGACTAATTTGAGGAGATTAAGGAAATAAGTTGAGTTAGTTATTTATCCTAAATAGGTGTTGTCTTTCCTAAAATATCCTTATTAATCAAGTGTATTGACTAGAACTATCATTATTAGAAGGGTTACTTTGGAAAAAAAATATAATTATGAGAGACAAAGTGGATTGGGGTCTTATATTTAGGATCAAAATAAAAGTCAAATAAGGTCTTATATTAAGGACCACATGTAGTACTAGTTTTGGTGGTTTATGATATAAAAGCTAGGTAACTAATTTATAAAAATTAAAAAAATTAGTTAAATTAGTTATTTGTTAAAAAATGTGTTTTGATTTTCTTAAAACTAAAAACTTCTTCCCTGTGTGAAGTACTGGGTGGTATAAAGTTGATAATTGATTAATTATTAGGATATCGGCGTTCCAATTAATAGATATTATGATGCATTTAATTTTTAGTCATTCTCTTTCTCTTGAATTGACCACCTCAATGGCCTTGAAAATAATCTTAACTCGACCCGACTTATTTTGAAGCGCAAGATTTTAAGTATAAAAGTTTATTTTCTTATCAAATTAGTACAACGTTGCCAATAAATTTGAAATTCCATTATAATTATGACCAGTTCTGTATAACGAAGGACAACCTTGTTTATTACTAATTGATGAAATCAATGACAGTTACTTTTCAAAAATTTAACTTATGGGTCTTGAGAATTAATAGTCACCTAAAACTTAATCACAAGTTCTATATGATGATTAATAACACTGATTATTACTAATGATAACTACACGTTCAGCAATGATAAGGGTCTGTTTGATACGAAGAAAACGAAGAAGGGAGAAAGAAAAATTTTAATAAGCTTGATTTAAAAAAATTTGAAAAGCAAGGTTAAAATTTTTTAATTAATTTTGCTCACTCTTTTATCTTACATATTTTCTTTATCAAAATTTTACAACTCAACTTCTTCAATTTTTTAAATCGAACTCATTAAAATTTTCCTCCCCTCCTCTCTTCTCCAATTCCTTCATGGCAAATATAGGGTAAGAAAAAAAAAATGTCAGTGTTACATCTCTCTTCTTCCATGGTATGTCATGTTTATTTTGAATTTTGTTTTTATAATTATTGTTAGATGCTCAATTCTAATTCTATTAATAATAAGTGCATAATAACATGTTAATATAAACTATATTTGATATCACTTATCGAAAATCAATTATATTTGAATTTGGTGAGCTTGACAACCCTCTACAATCACTTTAAAAAAATGTTTTCATGTAAGTCGAAACAAAAATTCTTCTTTTATACTTATTTCGTATACTGTAAAATTACTTTTAAAAAACTAGTCCAAAGGACTTGAATAATCTATTTATAATTATAATTGAATTAATAATATACAATCATGTAAAAAAGTGAGGTGCATATCAATGAAATTTCATGAAAACTCATATATTTATAAGTTAAAATTAAAATTGTAATAATAACAAGAAATATTTATTTTCGTTTTTGTTTTTTTGAAAACATTCACAATCTACAATTGGGCCAAAACGCCCAATGTTATGGTCCACGTGTTCATACCCAATTCGTATGCCCAATGGGCTTCAAATAAAATAATCGAAACCCAAATATTCGCTTCCCAAACAGAAGAGAAGGAATGGAAAATGCAGTGAGGCGCCAGATTGAGGATTGTGGAAGACGAAATTGGTTCACACTGTAAATTTTTTGAAACGCCAAGAGAATCAAAGAACATGCGCAAGACGTCTTCTTCTTCTTCTGTAGAGGGAGGAAACTAGCGAGAGAGAAAGAGAATCAATTCATCACAAGCAAACTGAATTTCTAGCTGTTTCTGTGACCACCACACCACACCAGAAAACGATCATCATCTTCATCAGTCTTCATTATTAACTTCAATGAGCGACGCTCAGCCACCGCCCCCTCCTCTGTCTTCAACAGAATCGCTCATGAAGCGCTGCAAGCCAATTTGGCGTGTATTCTTGATCTATAATTTTGCTTTTGCAGGTCTTATTTTCTATCTCTTGCTTACAATAGCCATTGTTTCTTTCTTTCTTTGTTTGTGCGCGCGTGCACATGGTGCTGCGATATGAAATGCGTCATTAAATTCTATTCCCCCCTCATTTTAGTCGACAAAAAACTGGCTAATGGATTGGTTGTTACTTTTTTTTCACTGTGACGGCGGCCTTCTTTGACGTTTTGTGTATTCTGCCCTTCAAGTGTTTGATATATTGCCAAGTAGAACTTTGATTGGTTGTTTGATAGTTTGCCTATAATCAAGCGATTTTTTTGGCTGTGTCTCGTAATGTGTAGGAACATTTACTTTCTCCTTGTATTCCGTTTATGAATGGGACCCTTTTTATCATCTCTTTGTCTACTTTCCAATTCAATCAAACTCGTATCTACATTTGAGATGACACATCATGGCGTGCTCTTTTAACTTGTCTTAGTAGTTTAACATGTTTATTGTATTTTTAGATAATGCCAAAGGTACCAGAAGTTGAGGCTCCTTTTCATTATTAGTTATGTACTAGTTCTATCTTGATGCCTTGAATATGCAACTGGAATATCAAGTATTAAGTGCTTCTTTTTGCTTCGTATATCCGTATTCGATCTTTACCACGTTCAACCATTAGCCATCTGACTTGTTGCCATTGCAATTTGATTTCATGTCATACCATCAATTTGCCTCTTGACTGATGTTTAATGTTAAATTTAATCCCTTGACTAAATTTGCTGTCTTCAGGGAATTTCCCCCCGATAAATGTTGTTGATGATCAGATGAATAGGTGTTATATGTTGTGTCTTAGATGAATAAGTGATTAGACTATGTCTACATGTATTGTATGCTGTTGTGTCATGATTAAAATAGTGTTTCTCTCTGCGATTGTCAATGTTTGTTACCCTTTCCAAGTTTCTGGTGTTCAGAAGATTTCTTGTACTACCTAAATCCCAGACATACAGTTTTCTTTCTTTGAATGGTGACAGCAGGAATAAACTAGACGTTTTTTTCCTTTGCCCTTCTAATGTTTCTGCTCCGTAATTTATTGCAGCTTATCTATTTTCAAGGCCAAAGAAGAAAGACGGGACTGAGAATCATACCAGAAAAGGTCACAAATTGCAAAAGGAGAAAACTGCTGTTGAAGTTCCTGAACCCCCCACAACCTCAACTTCAATGGGTTCAATTTTCGATGATGACTCGCTCTATTTCCCTGTCTCCATCCCTGAGGAAGTGCGGGCTCCCATCACTGATGAGCAACAACGTGAAATTTTCAAATGGATGTTGGAAGAAAAGAGAAAGCTGAAACCCAAGGACCCTGTAGAGAAGAAGCAAATAGATGAAGAAAAAGCCATTCTCAAACAAATTCTACGTGCTGACACCATACCGAAGTTTTGATTCCCACTTCAGTTTTCTAAATGCTGACATGTTAAAGCTTCAGCACAATTGATAGACCTTGACAAGCTCGGATTATTGCACGTTGAAGTCCATTTTTTTACTGGATAGCATCACACTGCAAATTCAATTTTTTTTTTACTTTATTGACATGGGCAGCCATTTAGTCTAATTCACCCGGATGAAAATCTCTGGACATCGTGGGATGATTGTAATGTAACATCAGTCAGTTAATGTAACATCAACACCTTGCAATTGATAATGAGTGCCATTGTGCCCTACTATAGGCACTTACCTATTCATCAATTTGTATTTTTGATCCTTGGGCATGTGAACTCTCTACTAATGAACCAAGGACATGTTGTAATGTTTAAGTGTACAATCGTTCGTTGATGTTGGAGGTGGACACTCCTAACACTGACAAAAAAATACACATGCACAAGAAATGATAGTGATATGAACAGCATAATCTGACTCAGCATGTCTTTGTGTGCTATGTGCAAACTTGCCACGTGAAAACGGTGAAAATATCACTCCTTTTATTACAGTATGAAACCTTTATCTACCGAGACGTTTTTAACCATTTGAATAATTTCATTGCATTTCCATTTTGAGCGATTGCCCAGTTTGGTGGGTAGACTGTAGGGATCAAAAAGCAATGACGTGGACTTTGAAACGAGACAAACCATAAATATGGTTTTCAGGCATTGAATATGGTAATCAATGGCTAGTGGACTTTGACAATCGCCGGGACCACAATAGCTCATTTCTCTGGATTGAGGATTCTAACTATATCCACATCCTCCAATAGTCCAATCCCATCCAATCTTCTATCTCTTGCTCAATCAACTGAGTTTAGGACTTTGAACGAACTGAAAAGAGTCTAACATACTTAACTGTCAAGCTCATGTATTTTTGTCCCTTGTCTGTCCGATTTAAGCAATTTTTATCTTATTGAATTCTCCCTCTGCAATGCCAGGAACAATCCTGGTCTCAGGTAATTTCATCTTGTGGAAGTAATTCAACTATGAATCACCATGTGGTTTTTATCTCACTTCCTCGTTCATATTACAGTCCTGGAATTCATGGGTCTTCCGTTATCTTCAACATCCATAAAGGGTATGCAATTGCTCTTGATTTTCAGCTTATCCGAGCCTTTCCCCTCTGCCACCCTTCAAAATGTCATTTATATAACTGGTAATTGTGGTGACTGCAGTTTCCATGGGGAAAACAGAGTCCCTCATCAGCGAGGAGGGAGACTTTTCCTTGTAAGATTAACTGAAAGTTCTATGTTGTTCTGTCAACATTTCTAACGATGACTTCAAGTTTATAATCCGCTTGTTTGTCCCATGCAGCCCATTAGCTAGTCTTCGTGAGGATCTCATTATCAAACTTCAGGATTCTGATGGGAATGAAATATCTCGTATAGGTAGCTCTCAGAACACTGCCCATTTGAAAATTTTGAGTTCTACTCCCATTTCACTTGGCCCTAGGATAAACCTGACTAATATATTATGAAAGGGTTTCATACGAAGTCAATAGTTGAGAAAGGTGTTTGGGAAGACATCTTTGCCCTTGGGCATGGACACCTGCGTCTGAAGCTGCAGTTCATCCTCAATGATGAAGACCGTGACCGGATTCGTATGATGGTACTGATATTGTTCCTCCCTATTATGCAAGTTTGTTGAGTTTCTGAAACTTTTCTTAATAATAAAAGGCAAGAGACCATGGTGATTGAAAGAAAAAAAGATTAGCTTATGGCTTGGGAATTCCCTAATCAGAGCATGGATGGCCTGAGAGAGAGAAAGGCGGGAGAGAGAGAGATTATTTGCAATATAAGAATGATTTGTTAGATTGTGCTTGGACTTGTAGTGGTGAAATTTTTTAGAAATTGCAAGTGAAAATGCCTCAGTCAATTACTTTCTCCTGATATGGAACTGATGGTTGTTCCATGCAGACAATGATCTATGAATGATTTCATTTTTTCGTATTCATCTATGGTTTTGCAGAGACAATCTGCGTTGAAGAAGAAACATGATGAGCTTCTCAGTAGCAGTCCCAGGGGTTCAGAAAGTGATAGTGCTTCTGTTGGCAATGCTGCACTAGCCTTCAGGAATGATGAGGTCTCAGGTTTGATCTTTACTCAACTGACTTAAGAAGCAATGAAAATATAAAACAGAAAAGAATACAATTAGTGACTTAAACATCCTTCGTTTCCCTGAAGTGTTTTTCCTGATATTCTAAGTTCTCCATCTTCTCAAGAATCTCCAAAAAGACACCTACAACTTGAAGCCGTTTCTCAAGGGGAAAAACCTGTTGGTTTCCGAACTGAGAAAAAAAACCGGCCCTAACATTATATTGGGGGCTGAGCCTGATCTAATGCAGCTACACCCAGTTAAGGATTTGATTACTTTACAATGTTTTCTCTATTGTGCTGATGAAAAGCCATTGGAAAAAGTACTATTGTTTGCTTAATGCTCATTTCGGATGTTTTAGAACGGCGCAGTTCAATATAAGGAGATCTCATCAAACAAACCGCTGTCAGAAGCATTTGATCCTACTAAATTAAAAGAAAAGGGTTTAACTAAGAAGCCTGGTTTTGGTTCAGCACTTTCAAAAGATCCTCAGAGAGCTATAAATTCAGAGGAAGTAGTAGCTATTTCATTTAGAAGCTCAAATCAGAATGAAGTTGCAGAGAATAATCTGATACAGCCCAATCCCAGCAATGTGAGAAAAATGATTAGTGCCTTTGAAATGCAAACTGGTCTAGCTCAGGTATTGCAAGTGTTGTACGATATCATCAATGTATAATTGCAATATTTTGACAACTGGGGTTCACATAGGACTTTTCTTAAACCAGGATATGAGATCTCCCATCAAATCACCTTCATCAGATCACTGTTCAAGTACAATTGAAACAAAAGCTTCTTCCAAGGCTAAGCACTCAGGGAAAGAGAAGGCTTGGAATAAAGGGCCAGTGGGCTTGTCACAAGGAAAATACAGATGTAGCTCTACGGTAAGAGAGTTGAAACAAGCCCAGTTATATAATGGAGAAAACAGAGAGCGACTTAATTCACTTAGTCATGGGAAGGAGTTACTGAACAAGCAAACAAATTCAAATGCCAGGAATAAATTCAAACTATCACATAAATCAGATAGAGAGGAAGATAAATATAGCAAAGATTTTGTGAGAACATTTGCATTTGAGGCAGTTACTTCAGGGAAGATGCCTGAGAAGATTTCGGATATATATCATCCTAGCAATCTGTTTGATTCCAGGAAAGATTCTAGAAGCAACCCAAACAAAGGAGTAAAAAGGGGAGATGCCTTGAAAAGTTCTCGTGAATTATGTGTCAACAGGGATTCACCACCTAAACTGAATTCAGGGATACACTTTGATGATAATTATTGCCCTTTTGAATGTTCTGGGGCCTGGATATTCCCTGATGAACAAAGAAAGTTCTGTCTAACAACTGGTGGTAAAAATGTAATGGCTTTATTGGAAAGTCTGGTTACAAAGCGCATAAACCATGAGAGAAGTTTGGATACCTCGATATTAGAAAATACGGAAAAGGTATCTAAAGATTTTTGGCAAACCTTTTGGCTAATTACTCTCTTTCGATAGAACATTCGTGTCTTAACAATCAGTGCCAAAGATGAAGTCTCTCGCATATTGTGAATACCTGAACAAATAGTTTGCATTTTAGTTATGCCAAAGAACATTGAGAAAGAAGATTGAAGATACGAAGTTCTCTACTGTATGTCTCAGACTAGGTGTACTCTAGTCTTATTCCTTTTGTTTCCAATGTTAGCTAGGATTTTGTAATAGATTAGCATACTTTGCCTAGTTTCAAAATTAAGCTATATAAGATTTATGATTCTGAGTGATGGCTTCGCTACCATTTTGTTTGTGTGTGCCAGATTTACTACCGTATCTGAGGCTTATTTTTTAATGAGAGAAGCATTCAACTTGGGATGTGGATTGTTCAAGAATTTAAGCTGATGATTTGATTATCTGGCTTACATTATTTGATCTATTTTCCCTTTTCTTAATAAGAATGGAGCATATATTGGGACTGGAGCTGAAGCAAGCAAAAATGCGAAGATAGATGAGACTGAAGAGTCAAAGTCTAAAAGCTCCGATGGTAATGGAGATGAAATTTCTGGAAGACCCATTAAACAGGTCATAATCATCTTTCGATTTAGCAACGTTTACTTCTTTTTTTCGAAGTTTTATACTCTCAGCTACCTCTTCATAATTTTTTGGAAAGAAAATTTCATCAGTGAGTTTGGATCTGTAGTGATGCATTCATCCAGTTATTGTCTTTTAGACATATTAGTACGTCCTTTAAGAAGAATAAGACATGTTGCGATCTCCATTCACTTGAGTAACTTCCTGCAAAACATTAAGAGACATATAACACAGATTAAAAAAAAAAGCAATGTGATGCTTGCTCTATATGGTTATATGCTTATATGCCCTTTCCTACTTCATCTCTCAGGCAATAAAAGTTGCAATCATCATAGGGTTTGGAATATTTGTTCTCCTCACAAGACAAAGAAAAGGAAGGTATGAAAGTTAATTGTTAAAGCATTTCCTGGTCAATTTTTTTTATTATGCTCATGTCAGCTTTATCATGCATTGATTATCTTAAGAAGGATACAAATGCAATTCAAGATTGAAGTTGATTAAATCCGATGAAATAGTTTGATCATATAATGCCTCTAAAAGGATGTTAGATATACATTTGTTAGGGAAGAAATATCAGAATGCCTTGTGTCACATAAAATTTATGATGAAACACTATCAGTAATTTAGTATTTTGTAATTTGTAATGCAGATAAAATCTGGTTATGGGTAGGCTTAAGATACCGGATGGTCCAATCCAAGACAAAGTCTGGTTGTGGAAGTTGAAGTTGCTGGACATGAAGGGATCCAATCATCCAAATCTCATCCGGGATTTTCTGTGACACAGATTCTTTTTTTCTTTTAATCAAATGCAATAACAATTTGACAAAAGTTTTTCTTTCATGTAAATTTCTGTCAAAGTAACCTCATCTGCACTTTTTTCTGGTTTTGTTGACAGAATGTAATTTTTCAGTTAGGGATTGATTTGTAGCAGAATTATTATGTAGTTTGGATTCAACTCCTCCTCAACAAGTATTTTCAGATTCAACAGTTATATGTTAATTAAACCCAGATTTTCGCTTCTTTGGTTGGTTGGAAGGGAAATTCTTTAAAATTTTGAAGTCATGAGCAAACCATGTTTGGCTTGCAAGAAATTGTGCATGATTTCTTAGTATATATATGTCATGAGGATAAAAAACAGCTTCAGAGAAGCTTGGTTGTAAAGTGTTGAGTTTTGAAGGATTCTGTAATATTTAAATTCTGAATGTTCATCCAGCATATGAAATGAAAGTTGACTGCTTAAAATAGTCTCGTAAATTTAAAATGTTAGAAAAGAATCCAAATAGCATTAGATTGTAATTGAACTTACTATGCAGTAATTTGTCCTCCATAAACTTCCACCCATCATCTCTTTTATATAACAAAAATCCTTACAAATAATTAAGACATAATGTATAAACTAGAATGTCCCATGCAAAAGTAAGTGAAACCATTGAAACATCCAAAACAAGTAAGTATCCACGCCTTCATCATGCTACTCTTTATCGAGAGTTTAAATTCACCACCTTACACTTTCAGCCCCCAAAACCAAAAAAAAAACAAAAAATCACCACCGTACACTTAAGAAAGCTTTAAAGAATGTTTGTTGTTAGCTGGGCAACAAGACCCCAATCTGATTAGTGATAGAAAAAATAACTTATTTGTAATCTGACTTTTGAAAAAATGAGATTGGATAAAAATTAAATTGTGTTTGGAGTATATTTTATAAAAGTTGGTTTATAAAAGTTAGATTGGATAAAAGGTTATTTGAATTATAATTGAATAAAAATAAATTTAGATTGTAAAATTACTAAAATAGGTATGAGTTTCATTAAATAATGAGAGACTAATGAGAGGAGTGAGGGAAAATTATTATTCTAACAATTTCTAATGGTCTTAAGCCCGATTGCCACTTAAAAAAGCTACCTTCCCCAACTTAAGGTGAATTGCGTGTTTGGTCCCATTTTTTGCCCCAAGTGCAGTATTATATAAGGGGGTGTTTGGCAACTTTAAAAAATACTTCTTTGGAGTACTTTCTGCAAAACGAGACAAATTCTTCCACATGTTACTTTGTACACCGTAAAGTACTTTTGAAACCATAGTTTGATTTCTATCCAAACATCTTCAAGCTCTCCTAAACTACTTCTGGCTTATACATTGCTCTCCCAAGCACACACTTAAACGTTGATGGCTTAACAAATCAGACAAGTGAAGCAACTTGCTGAGAGATAGTGAGTAACTTCAAACATGTACTCTAAAATGAACCACGAAAGGCCATTTTTCTTTAAAAAAAATATATGTAATTTATTTGTATTGTAAAAATTAATTAATTAATGTAAATATCTTATCTATATCTAATTAATAATTTTTACAGTCTCACTAAACTGGTCGCTTCCTTCCAAATATAGAGGGCAAATGATAGACCAGGCCTAACTATTCGTCAATATATATGAATTGAAATTTAAATCCCAAACTACTTGCGTTTAAGAGATGAGAGCTATAACTAATACTATTTCCTATTCTAACTACAGGAGTTAAGATAAAAGTTTTATTTTGTTTTAAATATATGATCTCAATTCACTTTGTTTTCAAAATTTATAATTTTCTGTTCAAAGCATCATATTAATTACACATATTAAGAGAACCCTTAATCAAAGAGATAGTTCCAATGTATATAATTAAAAAACTTAGTTTAAGAAAATCAAGATACATTTATTACAAATAATTAATTTAAATAATTTTTTAATATTTATAAATTAATTATCTAAGTTAAGGACAGGAGATAGTAATTCATTTAAGAAAAATTTGTGTTTATCTGGTCCTACCTTTTTTTAGAGGGATGATGATATAAAAAGAAATTAAAAATTGCAATATTTCAATTCAAGCACCTAAGAGGTCAAAATCTTAGAAAAAGAAGTAGTGTTTGATTTGGTATTTTATAAATATAATCAAATGACTAAAATGTCTTTGTATCATCTTTTTTATAAAAAAAAGTTATTAAACTTATCATTTCCAGTACATTTCTTATTATTACCAACTTACAATTTATTAATAAATATATTGTCATTGTCAGTATATTTCTTGTTATTTACTACTCCCTTCGTTTCTTATTATAAGAGACATTTGATACTTATGGCATGTTCCTATATATAAGAGACACTTAAAAGTTGTCTCTACTTTTTTGTGTTGATTTCCTATTTTACCCATATTTATTATCTCCAACTCACACACTCTCTCCCTCCCATTTCTCTTTCTTTTAATAATTTAATTGTTCTCTCTCCTTATTAATAAGGGCATTTTTGAAAAAAAAAATTATACTTTTTACACATTAATTGTTCTTAACTAATTTTAACTATTTTTTTGATCAACGTACTTTAGTTATTTGTCTCTTATACTCCCTCCGTTCCTTATTATAAGAGACATTTGATGCTTATGGCATGTTCTCATATATAAGAGACACTTAAAAGTTGTCTCTATTTTTTTGTATTGATTTTCTATTTTACCTTTATTTATTTTGTCTCCAACTCATACTCTCTCTCCCTCCCACTTCTCTTTCTTTTAATAATTTAATTATTCTCTCTTATACTCTCTCTCCTTATTAATGGGGGCATTGTTGAAAAAAATATTATATTTTTTACATATTAATTGTCCTCAACTAATTTTAACTGTTTTTTTGATCAACGTAATTTAGTTATTTGTCTCTTATAATAAGAAACGGAGGGAGTAATAAGGAACGGAGGGAGTATTTAATGCTTGTTGTTGTTTGTTCACAACTGGTTAATAAACTTTTTGATACAAGAATATTTTTGTTATTATTTAATTATATTTGTAAAATATCATATCAGACATAATTTTCTTTTCTCTAAGATTTTAAGGTGCCTGAATTGCAATATCGTAATTTTCAACTTTTTTTTTTTGTCATTTCTCTTTTTTTAAATTGTCTGTGTATTTTGCCTTTTAATATTGAACGCTTGAAGCTCTGCGTTTCAATCCTTCATACAAAGCCCTAACGTTCTGCCTCTGCTCAGCCTCCACGCAGTCGCGGACCGCCTTCACTCGTACATTGAACTTGTTCCGTCGTGTCTTGGGTGTTTGTTCTCACTGTTTGGAAGCTCATTTGCTGCCTCGCCTCTCTTAGACGTCTTCTCTTCTCTTATAGTAAGGTTCGTACTTCGTAGCTGGTCTCGTTCTTGCTCTTCTCTTTCTTTCTTCTCTTTTCTTGGCCAAATCGTGTTGTTTGCTGGAACACCTTGTGTTGGAGAAGAAGGAAGAATAGCTGACAGTCATCAATACATTTGAATTAACCACAGTATCTTTTGGTAAGAAACTAGTGTTTACTTGCTCAACCAGGCGATCGCCGAGTCAGTTCAATAATCTACAATGACTCGCAGCCTAAAGAATCCCAAGAAAGCTAAGAGGAAGAACAAGGTTTAGTCCTGTGGATTATTATTCAATTCTCTTCAAAAAATCTGTTTTTTTTTTCCTTCTGGTAGTTGGCTGAAGTATTTGGTTCTGGAATTAAAATTCAGGGCTCGAAGAAAGGGGATGGGTCTTCATCTTCTTCGATACCTTCTGCTCCCACTAAGGTTTGGCAACCGGGTGTGGACAAGCTGGAGGAAGGAGAAGAGCTCCAGTGCGATCCTTCTGCTTACAATTCTCTTCATGGCTTCCACATTGGATGGCCCTGTTTGAGGTAACATACGGTTTTCTGTTATTATTTTTTCTTCTCTCTTTTCCTATTTTCTTTGTTTCACGAGTTGAGTGAAGAAAAAATTTTAGGCCTATTGTGGGATTGTAATTTGTATGGTTATTGCTACTCACTTTCTCATCCCTGAAGAATTTTGCTTCATTTCTCTTTTACGGATGCGAATTAGGTAGGACCTTGTGTTGCCTTTGTAATGGAATTATGTTTTCGAACTTCTATTATATTCACGATAGGGTGGAATGAGCTATTGCTTAGCTTTTAGAACCTGGGATATGTGGATTTACATAGATGTCCTTTTCCATCATATGTTGACATTCAAAATGAGATTCTTGGTGACCATTTCCTGGGCCTTTATTTTAAATTCTCCTTATTGATGTACTGCATTATTTATTTATTTATTTATTTTTGACAGCTTTGACATTGTTCGTGATACTCTGGGCTTAGTTCGGACTGAATTTCCTCATACCGTCTATTTCATGGCAGGGACTCAGGTGAGCTTTACTTTATAGATTTGTGAGATGAAGATTTTATTTTGAGTTATGACCAAGTTCACGGCACTTGTGCATTCTTCACTTTCTGTTGGATTAGTTTGTGGGAGTATTAGTTGTGATAGTGACCAAGTTGATTTCATATTTCACAATTTTTTTTTATTGGGGTGCCATGCACTCAAAGGAGTTTATTGTGTAATGTATGTAATTACTAGTAATGAACAAAATAAGGCCAAGTTCTCCCTTTCATCCTCTTCATTTATATTTTTATGTTTCGTTTTTCACATTTTTGACATTATCCTGTTGATATGATGGTGCTTGTGCAGGCAGAGAAAGCTTCGTGGAATTCTATTGGGATTTTTAAAGTATCAAATATCTCTGGTAAAAGACGTGAACTGGTGCCTAAAACTGCAACTGATGACGCTGAAATGGATAGTGACAATAGTGATAGTGAGGATGACAGTGATGATGAAGATCCTGATAGTTCTAGGTCTCCCATTTTGCAGGCAATGTCTTGTAAATTTGACTTTGTTATACTTCAGTCCCTTGCTGTTCGAACATAAACAACATTTTTCATTTATCCTTTTCAATTTTATATTACAGTTGCGGAAGGTATCTCATGAAGGATGTATCAACCGCATACGCTCCATGACTCAAAATCCTCATATATGTGCAGCATGGGCAGATACTGGCTATGTACAGGTTATATTTTCTAACCGTTTAACCCATTTTTCAGTTTATGGTTTGATATCATAGACTAATGTAACTTGTTTCATGGAGTTTGATACTTAACAGTTTATGTGTAGAATACTGTTAGGACGTAAGGACACTATGCCTTTGGAATGGTAAATTATGTTCTTGCTACTTATTATTTCTTATTTGTGGCGCTGGCAAGGAGCAAACCTTGTATTTACCATATTATCATTTTGACACTGTGTCGACTATGCCTAAATTAGATTCGAGATGACTGTTATCAGCATTTGGAACAACACGATAGGATAATTTGACTAAATACACTCTATTGGCTTGTTGGGTGGTTCTTGACTCAATTAGAAAAATTCCTTTTGGTTGTCCCTGCTTCTCCAATTTTGCTCCAATTCTTTCTGCTATAAGTTTTAATGGGATGTAACCCCTTAAGCGTGGACTCATCACTTTCGGTTTGCATATGGTCTTACACTTGAGTGGTGAATCTGTAGATCTGGGACTTCAAATCTCATCTCAATGCTCTAGCAGAATCAGAAACAGAAGGCGCCCAAGGAGCATCTTCAGTTTTAATCAGGATCCGCTGGCTAAGTTTAAGCATGGAGATGAAGGATATGCCATAGACTGGAGTCCTGTTGATCCTGGAATGCTTGCATCTGGTAATCTTAGCTTGCCCTTGGTTTAGCTTAATTTAGTGCATCATTTTCTTCACTCTCTCTCTCTCTCTAATTAGCTTCATATCCTGCTCAAGATTTAATCATCCTCTTCATTTTAAGGGGATTGCAAGAATTGTATATACCTGTGGAAGCCTACGTCTGCTGCAACCTGGAATGTTGACAAAATGAATATTGCGCACAAAGCAAGTGTCGAAGATCTACAGGTGAGCACTTATAGCTCAAAGCATCATGAGCTCTGTCTTTAGAGTATATCCATTAAAGCAGGGTTTTTTTTTTTCTCACTCTGTTAAATATTTCTAAAAATTTTATTCATCTTTGCAGTGGAGCCCTACAGAACCTAATGTTTTTGCTTCTTGTTCTGTTGATGGAAGTATTGCAATATGGGATACCCGTCTGGGGAAGTCACCGGTAACATCTTTTAAAGCTCACAATGCAGATGTTAATGTCATGTCATGGAACAGGTATGCAAAAATTAATGTAATGATGATCCCTGAACTTTATTGCATTTCTAGGTCTCATGCTTGCTCTGTAATAAATTCTACCGTGTAGGCTAGCCAGTTGCATGTTGGCCTCTGGGAGTGATGATGGGACATTTTCTATTCGTGATCTTAGATTGCTCAAGGTATGTGGTATTGGAGATTGCCTTGTAATCGTTTAGGAAAGAAAATATTCGCAGTGTTTTATTTGTTTTTCGTTTATAAAAAAGCAAGAAAGAAAAATCAACGCTGATGTTAATTTGTATTGATTGGTGAGTAGGATGGAGATTCTGTGGTAGCACATTTTGAATACCATAAGCATCCAATCACATCCATTGAGTGGAGCCCACATGAAGCTTCTTCTTTGGCTGTTTCATCGTCTGATAATCAGCTAACGTAAGTGATATGATATTGATAACATGTTCTTCCTTGACGTTTCAAACAGACTTCGGCATGTCGATAAGCTTGTTTAAAATGTATACATTTGGGGTTCTAAAAATTCTGCATTGGCTTCAATCGCAGAATATGGGACCTTTCCTTAGAAAAGGACGAGGAAGAAGAAGCTGAATTTAAAGCTCAAACCAAGGAACAAGTGAAGGCCCCTGAAGATTTGCCTCCTCAACTTTTATTTATTCACCAGGTAGGTTATTAGATATTTCCAAGTCTCAATATCGGTATCAATGAGAATATCAATGTAAGATATAATGTTTATGATAAGTTACAATATTTACAAGTCATAAGCAGTATGTTTTATTTATTAAATTCTGTAACATGCGAATGAAAACGTGTCTATTTCATTTTCATGGTAGACCTCCCGCCTGATTTATTTGTGTTGACTTGAAACAGGGACAGAAGGACCTTAAAGAACTACACTGGCAAAATCAGATTCCTGGAATGATTGTGTCTACTGCAGCAGATGGATTTAACATTCTCATGCCTTCAAATATTCAGACAACTTTGCCATCCGAGGGAGCTTGATACTTGGTCATTGGTAGGGATATTTCCTGCAAGATCATGGCACCTATCTGGTGCAACAATTTTTGGTGTAAATTCCACAAAGTGATGCTGCAACACGATCCAGAACTGGCTATGCTTCATTGTTTTTCTGTTGTGTTCTGTGAAGGATGTATGGATTGATAAGGAATTTGATATTAATCAAATGTACCTGAATTTTGGATTTGAGATTTATTTAAACAAAGCTGATTTTGGGTCGATTGGAGCAGAACCTATGCCGCTTAGTTATTTATTCTTCCCGTTCTTTAAAACAATAAATTATGCCATGAAGGCACCCAAAAAAGGGTGATAATAAAGGTCTTGGCAAAGGAGCACGCTGCCGCCCCATCTAGATCTCCTCTTCCTTGGTTCAGGAAGCCGAGAGGAGGCATTTCATCTTCTACAGTACTCTCGCCCTCCAAATATTACGCAATGTGTTGTTGCGTTCCCGGCAACAACTTGTAGATAAAAATAAATATGATTAACGTGTTTAATATGAGTAATTGTTGTAAGTGTTTTTAGGTCGCAAAACAGCTTTGCTTTGTAAGAACAGAGTATAATTACCAGTGCATTACTAAGCTCTGCAACATTTGCGAGAAAAGATCTAGACTTTTTGTTATTTCGTCCAAAATTTCATAAACGTTGAGAATTTAAGCTGATTATCGGGCATATACTTGTACGAATCGGTCTCATTCCTCCCTGAGATTCTCTATTTGCTCATCAACTTTGCACCCTGCTTCTGATCAGATGTACTTCTTTTTCTTGTTCTTGTCCCTGTCCTTGTACAAGTTATGGGATATGACTGGTCCAAAAGAAAAGCCTCCAGACAGGTCGTTGCTTGTTGCCACGCTTGCCATTTTTGCCCTTCAGTTTCGGCACCTTCGCCTTCAGTCTCACCCTTCCTCTTCCTTCTGTCTTCTCCGTCTGCTTTATGCTTAACATGTTCCACATCACCTCCACGTCTCTGTACCCACACATTTCCACTTCATCTCTCAGCTTCACCAACCCTCCATCTCCGCCGCTTCCTCTGCCACAGCCACCACCTGCGTTGTTAAATGCCACGTCAAAAACAGAGCATATATCCCCTCAAACGCACCTCAGTCAATCACCACTTGAAACTACTAGAAGAGAAAGAAAAGGGTCAAAGAAGGAGGAAGAAACTGGAAAGTTACGATTTTTAGGAGAACCCACCAACAGATTTGCCAAGTTTGAGCAGAGCAGGGACCAGGCCCCAAGTTCTTCTCAGCTTATGCCACCAATCCATGCTGTTCACAAAAATAAGAATGATGATAGAAGAAGAAGAAGAAGAAGAAGAAAATGTAAAGGAGAGAGGAGAGAGGGAGGCACCGAAGATGATACACGTGGTAAGCGGGTGAATCGGCATTGTGCTGACGCTGTCTGAGTGTGTGTGTGTGTGTGTGTGAGAAGTTCTGGAAGATAATGGGATCTGATCTGACTCGGTTTGGGTTTGGCTTTGTCTGGAAGTTACAACTTACAAGACAGGATGAAGCAGAGGAGCTCAGAATAGGGAAATGATTGTTAAAAAGTGGGTTTTGATTCGGCTACTCTTGTCACTTTCATATGTTTGTGTGTCTCATAGCGGTGACTGAATTTTTTTCCCCATCAAAGCGGTGACTGAATTTTCAACAATGCTCTATTGTAATGCTGCACGTTTCTGCACTGCGACATTGTCACAAGAGAAAGTAATAAATAACTAAATCTTAAATATAAAAGCTAGTTAGTTAATTTGAAGATATTAACAAAATACTACCTCTAGTTCTTAATATAAAATTTTATTTGAAGTTTATTTTGATTCTAAATATAAGATCACAATTCACTTTGTCTCTTATATTTATATATTTTTTCTCAAGGTAGTCCTTCTAATAATGATAGTTCTAGCCAATACATTTAATTAGCAAGAACATTTTAGAAAAGACAACACCTATTTATTATAAATAACTAACTTAACTTTTTTCTTTAATCTCCCCAAATTAGTTAACTAGTTTTAGGACCGGAGGTAATATGTCGAGCTAATTATTTGTAATAAATATGTGTTGTCTTTCCTAAAATATCCTTACTAATGAAATATTTAGGGTAGAACTATTATTATTAGAAGGATTATTTTGAAAAAAAATATAAATACGAGAGATAAATTGAATTAGGGTTTTATATTTAGGACCAAAATAAAAATTAAATGAGGTCTCATATTAAGGACCTAGTATATAACTTGGTGTAATTTTTATTTTTATTTTTTTTAAAAAAAGAGAGAGCGTATTAAAAGAGTACAGTGGTTTATAATGTGAAATGGTAGGATGGAAGAGGATTAAGAAGGGGATTCACATAATTTTGATGGAGCCAATGGCACCGTGAATTATTTATTCCCCCATTTGAGCCCCCTTTTTTTTTTGTTTCCTCCTCCATGGAGCATCCTGTATTCAGAATCTACCTCATTTTAACTCAAAGGAAGATCCATAATAAAGCTAGCAAAACCCCCTTATTACAAGTTGAATCAAGTGCTTAGTTTGAATACATGTTAAATTGAAAATTATAGTAAATATGTAATTTTACTCATGATCTTAATTCTCAATTCACTCAGCACCTGATTTTTTAATGGCCTAATTATATCCATGATCTTATTTTTCAAATATACCCAAAAACAAAATCATAGATAAAATTATACCACTATAAAAATCGAATGTTAGATGCACTTAAAAAATAAGATTAAAAGCAATTTCACTTAAGTCCCACAGAAGACCATGTTGCCCTTGATATTTGAAAAGAAGAAAGGGGTCCTAGTGTGCATAATCATCATGTTTGTTCATGTCTGCATGTTCTTAGTTCAAATAATAAAAAAATAACAACTCAAAGTACAAAAATTTATAACTCAATTTATAACCACTTACATAAGTTGCACTCGGGATACAAATTTTAAAATTAAGGAATAGAAAAATAATAATTCTACATATAAAAATTTACAACTCAAGCTACAAGTATTTAAGTTGAGGATGCAAATTTTAATAACAAAGAATAAAAAAATAACAATTTTACATATAAAAATTTACAATAAACAATAGGAAAATAACAATTCAACATATACAAATTTACAATGAAAATGAAAAAAATAACAAATCTACATATTACAAGTGCTCTTGTAAATTACAAATGGGAATATAAATTTTAACAATAAAGAATAGAAAAATAACAACTTTGCATATAACAATTTACAATTCAATTTTTAAGTACTCAAGTAAGGTACAAGTAAGAATAGAAATTTTACCAATAAAGAATAGAAAAATAACAATTTTACATATGAAAATTTACAATAAAAAATAACAACATAACGTACAACTTTACATACAAAAATTTACAACTTAATTTAGAAGTAGGAATATATTTTTCTTAATACTAAAATTGTCATGGACAATTATCTACCATGAACAATCCAATTGCGATGTTTTTTTTTTTTTTGAAGTTTTTTCCCTGTCTTACCAACATATTCATAGTGATCTGTGCTACTCTAATACTATCTCTTATTCTAAATATAATAGCTAGTTGACTAATTTGAGGAGATCAAGGAAATAAGTTAAATTAGTTATTTGTAATAAATAGGTGTTGTCTTTCCTAAAATATCTTTACTAATCAAGTGTGTTGGTTAGAACTACCATTATTAGAATGATTATCTTAGAAAAAAATGCACAAATATTAGAGATAAAATATATTGAGATTTTTTATTTATACCCAAGATAAAAGTCAAACAAAATCTTATATTAAAAACTGGAAGTGTACAAGATATAATAATGCCCGTTTAACATGAGTACGTACTTTATATCAAACCTACCACTTTCATGTCACAGATTTGTTGCTACAAGACTCAATTCTTTATATGTTATTCATTTTATTATCAATCTTTTAATTATAATCTCATCTTCATATATTATTTTCCTATATAAAGTATTCACATATATATTCTTCTTATACGAAAGATGCAAAATAGTTGCTTTTCATAACTGTTAGTCATATACCATGCTTCTTTATGATTCATAATTATGTAAATCTCAATTCCTTAGCAAAATTGAAACAATTTATAAATTTAAAACTATCGTTAGCATATTTACAATTAGCATTTTCACAACACATTATGGACAAGTCATTTTAATATCATCAATACCCACTACCTTCACCCATTCATCAAACTACTAACCAGATAAATTTCTGAACCGCTAGTGCTATGCCATGCGTCTCAGCACGTCACTATTATGTGAATTTCAATTACTTAGCAAAGCTTAAATAAACTATCAATTTACAACTACAATCAGCACATTCACAACATAAAATTGGTATTTCACAACTTAAATTCTGAATAAGTTAGCTTAATACCCATCAATATCTGCCATCTCCGCCAATTTGTTCAGACTATAGAAACCAGATAATACATTGTAAAATAACTCATGCCTTCTAGGCTTCCACACCCATATCCACACACTATCTACCTATCACAAGCAGCAACTCTTTAACAATGAAGATGGAGAAGAAAGAGCTTTAAAACCCAAATTTAGAATTTACCTCAACCACAACACGATTTCCTATTGATCGCAAAGCTCAACCACATGGCCACTGGAGTTCCCACATTGATGCGATTTTAGACTCAATACAACACTCTAATTCATACTGCTCGAATCCTTAATATAAAACATATTTAACTAATTTGATTAGATTAAGAAAATTAGGTAAGTTAGTTAATTATAAAAAATATGACATGTTTTTTTTTCTAAAATACCATAATCATATTTCTTAATATTCTCCTTCCCTTACTTACTTGATTATGGTTGAGGGAGTATTCATAGGGCTAATTTAGAAAAAAATTAATAAATATGAAAAATATATTTTATATTTATGATCAAAATTAACATAATAATTAGATTTTATATTAAAGATCGGAGGAGTATTGGCTTAAATGATTGCGGAACGAGAATCATGAGCCACCATATCATTCACCATCGCATCAAGTTGGAGAAATGGCAGGGTGTATGTTGAGTTGTATTTCACGCCCTCACGCTTCTTTTTGTCTCCTCCCTTCTCTCTTTCAATTAAGGGCACTTCTGTAAAAAGGCTCATCAAATTAGTTTTATTATGGGATAAAGAGACTGATTTGAAATTTCAAAATCTTTTGGTCCTTACCTGAAATTTCC